TCGGCGGCGGTGCGGCGGGCGGTGCGACGCCCAAACAGAGACGTGGTGTCTGGGGATGCTGAGCCGTGTTTGCAAGGTGCCTCCTCCGGCTCCGGTTTGTTTGGAGGAGCGTGCTGCAATATTGCAGAAGATTCGACGTGCAAAGGATTCCGTGGCTTGCCAGATTTGGGCCCTGGAATCAAAAGATCCGCAGGAGGGTCCTCCAGCTCCACGGCATCGCCGTTCGGAGGGGGCTGGACGCTCAGCAAAGAATCGATGCTGCCATCCTCTTCCCGAGCGCCGGAGGGGTCGCGGAATTTTGTCTTGCAGGAGGCTCTTCCGCTTCCACCGCCTCGCCATTTGCGACCGGCTCGGCACCTAAGTGCCAATGACGGGTACTTTGCAATGCGCACTCCAAGCAAAGTCAGGCGCCTCAACCGGCTCGGGACTCTTTGGCGGAGGTTGGGAAAGATGCTCTCAGCTGGTGATGCGTTGGTGCAGACCTGCTCGGGACTTGGCAGGAGCTTCTGCAAGCTCGACGGCCTCACCATTCGGGGGTGGCTTGGCTCCCAAAAATAGTGGCTCTTGGTCTCTTCTTGGACGGACCTCATATTGCAGGGACAGATGGACGGATGGCTGACGCGCTTGTGTAGGAGGTTGCAGGCACTCGAGTTGGATCACGCCCCTTTTCAGCTCCTTGTGCTGCTGACAATGCTTGGGTGCGGTGAGTGTTGCGGTGGATGTTTACAAGGCACTTCGACTGGCTCGGGCTTGTTCGGTGGAGGTGCGTCGTCCCGCCATGACCTCCCGCCAGCAGCATATCTGTGAATGTGTCGAGGCACCTCCTCGAGCTCAAGCGCATCGCCGTTTGGAGGCTTCGGACTTACGGCCCTCGGCCCTCGTCTGCTGTCGTGAATCAGTGCTTGCCCAGGAGCGTCCGCGGGCTCGGGCCTGTCCGGAGCATTCGGCGGCGGTGCGGCGGGCGGTGCGGCGCCCAAACAGAGACGTGGTGTCTGGGGGATGCTGAGCCGTGTTTGCAAGGTGCCTCCTCCGGCTCCGGTTTGTTTGGAGGAGCGTGCTGCAACATTGCAGAAGATTCGACGTGCAAAGCATTCCGTGGCTTGCGAGATTTGGGCCCTGGAATCCGCAGATCCGCAGGAGGGTCCTCCAGCTCCACGGCATCGCCGTTCGGAGGGGGCTGGACGCTCAGATAGTCTTCTGACTCACAGCTGCAAAGCAGACATCTTGCTCGCATCTTTCGAGAGGAAGGATCGCCATGGGTCAGTGTTATTGACCGTGACAACATGCTTAAAGTCAAAGCCGCTCCTCTCGCGAGGCTCTTCCAGCTCCGGGTTGTTTGCCTCAGGCCCGGGATGTTTGACAGCACGGTTTAAACACAGACCCTGTCTCCGGGCCACGCGCAGGAGGCTCAAGCTCGAGCAGTGCGCCCTTGGGCAGCGGCTTGCTGAGACGAATTCTGCACTTGCAGCCGCTCTCTTATGCCCCGAGAATCCCTAATCTCCAAGGTGCGTCGAGTGGTTCCGAGCTTCTCGGCGCTGGTGCCGAACCCCGGAGAAAGCCACCCCAAACGTTCCTTTACGGATGCCCGCAGTATAGACGACTGCAGGCGCCAACGGCTCGGGCTTGTTCGGCACTCTCAGCCCGGCCCTCATGTCTCGGCCTTGCGCTGTCTTCAATCTGTCGCTGCAAGCTGCGATGTCATCGCTAGCCGCTAGCACGTCGGAGTGTGGGGCAAAGTAACAGGAAGACTTGTGGCAGAAGCAGAATCCATCATCGCGTTTCTCATCGTCGGGATTATCGGCACTGTCTACGTAATTTTGCAATGATTCAATGGGCGATGTCTTCCCGCACCAAGGTGCATCTGCATCTGCTGCCGGTGGGCTGTCGGGAATCCTTGCTGGCTCGGAGCCAGGCGCGCATGCGAAGGAGATCAAAGTAATTAGGAGTTGCTCCCAGTCGGGCACGCCGTTGTGGAGCAGGGCCCTGGTAAAGGCAAAGGTTCGGTGGAAGGTTGCTGCATCCAGCAGCCTGTACCGGGATTGCAGCCACAGTTCCAGGAGTCGAGCAACTTGCCCCTTGTGGCACCCAGGGAAAAGGCACTCCAGGTGGCTCCGTATAATTCCCACAGATTATTGTGGCTTCGGTTCTACTCGGGCATCATCCCAGCCCTGACACGACACCCTCACACACTCTCAAGGTCCCGAGCCTTTCCAAGGCTCCCAAGCGGCAGCCAGTGCCAGCGCCAGCGCTGGCCCGGAACCTAAGCTCTGCTGTTGAAGGGCCAGAAGTTGCCACCGAGCTTTTTCCAAGGAGCAGCTGGAGCTGTGGCGAAGAGCGCTGCTAAGGCACGGCCTGCAGGAGGTTTGAACGACACGCCTGCCAGATTTGCAAACTGGCCATTGACGGTGCAAGCCCGCTTTGGAGCGAAGCTTTATCGCTGTTGCTGTTGCTTCTTCTTGTGGCGGTGATGATGGTGGTGGTGGTGGTGGTGGTGTTGCTGCTGCTGCTGCTGCTGCTGCTGCTGCTGCTGCTGCTCCTGCTGCTGCTGTTGTATTGGTGTTTCTGCTTGTCGTCGTCCACGGATTCCTGCTCCTTCCTGCTTTTTCGCCGCAATCTCAGTCGAGCCACTTCCAAAATTAAGTTGTGCGACGCGGGCTCCGATGTCGGACTGGCGGCAAGGCAAGCAAGCCAGGTGGGGCCACAGCCCTGGCGGCGGCCATGAGCGTGGCGAGTTTCTGCATGAGGGCTACCCGCAGCCGGAAGGGCCCAGTCGCAGGTGGCGCCGCAAAGGCGCGACTGCGCCTTCCCCAGCAGCCCCGCTGCCCTCCGCGGAGCCTGCGGAGCCGGGCGCGCCCGGGGGCGCATGCGGCGGCGCACGCGTGGTGTGGCTTCTGGGAAACCGCTGCGTGGAGCTGCTCCTGCCCTCCGGAGAGGTGCGTTGTTCAGTCCTGGCGGCTGACATCAAGGCTGGCTCCCGGTCGGTGGCCACCTCTGTGCCGGGACGTTTCTACGTGCTGGAGAACGGAAGCTCGCGGATCTGGCAGGTGTGGTTTAAAAGGTTTAACTGCACATACATGCAGGAGGAGAGAGTCAAAAAGATGTTAAAAGGAGATGTGCTGGATGCATCTGGATGTCATGTGTCGGTGCCCGGCAGGTGGAGCTGGGCAAAGGCGCTTGGCCCCTGTGTGACGAGACGGAGGCCAGACGCTTCCGTGCTTCCCTGGGCTCCCGCTTCGTGTCCTGCGGTCCCGATGGGCAGTGGCTCCTGGTCACGGGCACGCCCCACCACGGGGCCCACAGCCCCTGGCTCTTTGATCTGGAGACGCAGCGATGGCGAGCATTGCCAGCAGCACCTCATGCCATACTTTCCTCTGCAGTCGCGGTGCAGCCGGACGGCTTGGAGGTGACGATCCTGGGAGGATGGAGCAAGATGAGCAGTTGCCACGGCCATGTTCAGAGACTGACGCCACGTCGGCAAAAGCAAAAATCCAGAAACCCCCATTTGCCCCCCTCCCTCAAAGTCCCGCTCTGCTCTCTCCTGTTCTTATAAGGAGCCTCCGAAGCGGGGCTAAGGGAAAAAGCCCCGGCGGCTGGGCCGTCCTGGATGGGCAGCTGCCTTGGCGGCGACCGGGAGCTGGCGCCTTCCTGGAGGCGCCGCGAGGGTGACTAATGTTACGCTGCCATTGCTACTACGAGGTGTGGTCATTATTCTTATGATGTGTTCTTCATATTGCTACCGTTACTCTGGGTACCAGAGAAGCTTCCACAATGTTTCGATGTTCTGGTTGCAAGATGATGTAAGCTCGGGCAGGACGGCCGCCTGCTCGTCTCTTTGGGATGGATGGAATGCGACTCGTCTGCTACACTCGTTTTTTGCGGATGCGGCCAGCCACATAGTCAAATTTTGCGGAGGCGAGGGCGTGGTTGGAACCCAAAGCTTCCGGCTGCTGCCGCGGAACGGCGCTGCTCAGCGTGCACGCTCGTCGTCCTCGCGCCTGGTGGCGCTGAGTGGCGGGGCGGCTCGGCCAGGCCTTGTCGTCCTTCTCACCGCTGTGAGGCATGCGCAGCCAGTCTGGAGTTTCCTAAATGTCAAGCAGCACTCGGTAAGGGCAGCAGGCCGTGAACTATCTTGAACTTGGAGCTGTTCCCTCCTCTGAGGTGCGTCCCGTGGTGGAGGAGGTGGCGGTGCTGCCACTCGCCGCCGCTTGGGCTGCAAACGCCACGCTCCGAAGTTTTTCATAGGGGAATCAATTCTCAGATTTATCATCGCTGAAGACAATGAAAGTGGTGTAGTGGTGTCAGCCAGCAGAGAAGAACAGCAACGCATCGGACCATCGCGGTTCGGGGTGCCAGGGCTGAGTCGAGATGTGCCAGACAGGACAGCTTCGAGAACCTGGGGCAAATTTTCGATCTGGGCGGCTCCCTGGCCTGCGTGGGCCGAGATCACGTCCAGGCGGACGGGATTTGTTTGGGTGCCCTGGGTCGAGACTGCACGCTGAGCCTGGACGAAGACTCGAGATGGAAGGATCTAAAACCCACACCGTGCATGTATCGAGTGCAATGCCAAGCCTTGCTTGCAAGTTGCTGCAAGACTGCAACAGGAAAAGGGCGGAACCTTTTGACCGGGGGCACGCATTTTGAACACAATGGCTCACCCTCCCCTCCGGTCCATTCAATGCCAAACATGCCCAGTGGCAGCAACCAAAACATTATGAATGCAGAATATAAGGCTCCCCATCGCAGCCATCGCAAGAAACACTAGGCTCAAGCCTGCAGACGAGTCTGGTGTCGATCAGGGGACGACTGAATTCGAAATGTCCGGAGTCCACTTCAGCACTGCAGGCCTTCGACATGACAGCTGGAACCTGGCAGCGCTGGCCACTTCCAGCCGTTGCTTGGAAGCTCAATGATTTCTGCCGACCTCGTCTCTTCCGGCCCCTAAAAACCGTGAACCCAACCAAGTTCGTGCTCACATAATAATATTAGTATATTAGTAGTATTTTTAATAAGAATAATATTATTATGATTATCATTATCATTATTATTATTATTATTAGTATTATTATTATTATTAACAGAGCTCGAGCCGAGGAGCTCGCGGTGGACGGCAGCAGCTCCTGGGCCAAGCACTGCGGCTCCTGGGCCGTGGCGCTCGAAGCCGCGCCGGAAGCGTGCGACGCTGCAAAAAGGGACCCGTTTACGGCTGTGGGCCCGACATAGGTTAAGGCATCGCCCATGCAACCTTGATGCATTGCTACTATTCCCGGTCCTTGTCTTGTTGCAGCTCACTCAGTTAAGGCTTGGAATAGACATGATGGATACAGAAGCTGATGCGCGGACGCATGCATAAATGAATAAATCAGGGCCGTCTCAACAAACATACTCAAGTTAAAAAGTCAGTTGGAGTGCTTCCAACGACAAGAGGATCCCCAAATACGTTCAGGAAGCAAGCAGCTGTACGATTTTGAACCCTTACTACCATTCCTCCTCGTCCAGGCTGCCACGGCACCCCCGAAGAGTGGCGACACCCTCGGCTTCCGTGCTGCCAAAACCAGCGTGGGTTTTCCCCTCCAGAACCTCCGGACCAAAGACCCTGGTCTCACTTGTCAGGCCCGGCCACAGGCACAGATCGTCCGCCCGTTGTCGCGGTGCAGGCACCTCGGCTGACGGACGAGGCCGCGACGTCTTGTCGTCGGCGTTCGGACCGTCCTGAAGCGTCACAGCCGCAGGGCCTTTGAAGAGTCGGCAGAGTCCAAAAAACTGTAAACCAGGTCAACTGAGCCCCTCATGAGCTCTTGGAGCCTCACTCACGTGCAGGAGCAGAAGCTCGTCGATGAGCTTTTTCGGAATTGGGAAGGCGTTGACTTCACCATGTTGCCATGTTCCTCTAGCATCTGCGCTTAAAGCAGCGCTGGGGTGCCCCTTGTTGCAGGCCGAATAAGCCAGCATGCCAAGTCCGTGAAGGCCGGAGCGAAGCGAAGTCCGCTGGAGCGAGTTCCGGGCTGCGGTGAGATACCTTGCTTGGAGGTTCATGGGTAGTTCTAAGTGGAGTTATAAGTCCCCTAATCTAGGTGATGACTATAGCTGGCCTACTTATAACCCTACTCGCAAGGCAGCCGAGCCCACATTCTATAACCCTTCTTGTTGCTGTATAACTACCCATGAACCTCCAAGTGTCGATGGCCTCAGCTGCAGGCGGCCTCCACGGCTGCTCTCGAGATGGAGAGGGAGTACACCGACCTCCACGAGAAGGTCCAGGCTCGATGAGCCTTTTAAACTTTTACTTTGGCTCTTTGCGGGGGAAGCCACCGTAGTTTGGACGGTGCAACTCGTCTCCCGTGCTCGGCAGTTCTCACCGGACCCATGTGCCACGAGCTCTGTCAGGTACTCAAGGAGGAGCGCGAAGACCTGATGCAAGGGCCTTGGCTTGTGGGCGGGAGCACACGTCGCTTGAATTCGGGTTTTGAGACCAAGCCAGAGCCCGAAGTTGCCGGCTTCCACAGGCGAAAGCAGGAAGGCGCCCAGGGGTCGATGCAGCTGATACGGGAGCAGCAGGCGGGATCAAAGACGGTGAGGCTCCAGGAAAGCATTGGCAGCCAGATGTCTTAAACTTATACAAGTACGCCTAAGTACGCGCTGCCGTGCCTATGGCTTGGACGCCAAGCCTTGCCACATCCTCCCTTCAAGCCGTTTTCTGCGATCAGCTGTGAGTTGCAAGAACATCCACCTCTCTCGCTGCCGTATAGTGATGCCAGGTTTTTGAAGCGGGCTGGGCTTTGTTCACTTCCGCTCTTTTCCTCCACCCTCCGTTGGGCCCTCTTTGTGCAGAGGACCTTCTGGCGAAGCTCCTAGAGCAGCTGGAGACGCAGTTGGACCTGGGCTCGCCGGGCACCCGGAAGAAGAGAGTCGATAAACCCCTAGGCTAAGGCTTTCTTTGCTGTGGTTGTTGTCGTCGCAGTTGTTGCCAGCCTGGTCCATGGAGTCGGACCTGCCTGACACCAAGGACATTGAAAACCCCGCGGAGTACCATCAGGTCTCGGGGGTGAGTTGTCGTGCTCTGTGGTTCTCAGACAGCGCGTAATCGTGCATGTGCAGTGTGCAGATAGGCTTCGCGTAGGCTGTCGTGCTCTGTAGAGGCTGGAGGATCGTGCTGCGGCCTTGGAGAGCCAGCTCGGGGACCTCACGCAGCAGGCGGGAAGAGGAGGAGGCGGTAGCAGTAGCAGCACTAGCAGCAGTAGCAG